GTGATTGTAAACCGACATCTGATGGACGCTTGCCCCAGGGATGTCCTCCAATAATTCCTGAACCTACCACTCCTCCCTCTCCCCCAACCCACACCCCCTCCCTTCCCGCTACAACTACAATTTCAGGGACAACAACGCGTAAGTTTGAAATCAGAAGTATTAATCCCTGACCGCATCGAGCATCCAAAACCCGATTCCAGCTGCATTATTCTACACTAGAAGCAGTTGATTTAATGCAACTGATGCTGATGATCTGAAAAGTAAAATATCACCGACAATAAGCGATTATGAACCGAATTTGGATAGAAACACATCTTGAAGATGCCCTCAAGTTCCTGAAACTACAACCACCCTGAATTGAAAGATGATCCTTAGTTCTAGCACAACATTAATTCCATACGGACACTCTTTTGCATCACTCGTTCCAATATCCGCTAACTCAAACTTATACCAACTTTCGAGCTAAGGTTATGTTATTAGTTTATAAAAACCCATCACCCGTTCTGAACCACAAAAATTCACATTTATAAGAGCAGTCCAGGTGAAATCAGGCAGGTTTTAGAAATAATATCCCACCAAATAAAACGTCGTCAATAAAATTTCTTGCACAAATGATAATCACTCGATAAACTTGATGAAACATTACCGAATTTAGCACCTTATCCACCGTGTTATGGATATTTCGTGTTCATCGTCGACGCATCGAACGGTACTAGTGTTGAGAAGGAAGTTAGTTTATTCAAATTTGAATCTTGCTATAGCTTCTGTTTGAATCAGAATCTCCTGTTTTTCGACGTGAAAGATCGCTCGGATATTGACGATATCGTAGCGTGAAAATGATTTGATAATGGTGATCATGCTGTTGCTGTAGCGATTCATCGAGGACTGCGGTAGAGGTCAAATGTACAGACTTCAGCGGTATCGTCGAACCGCAAATGAAGATGTGTTGACTTTAGAAATTTGGCTATACCTTCCTGAAACTAGTCATTATTTATCGACAAAATATCCGCATTCTTTCGATAGGACAAATTCTGAACCACCAGACGCGTAAAGTTAAATCTCTTAAACTGCCTATCTACTTCTAACTCATCAAGTTTTGCGCATATTGTTGATTTTCAGATAGTTGCCATACGCAACGTGACGAAGTTATGGAATTTAGATGGTTCTGGAAAATTACAAGTTGCAGTCATGGCAACTGGCGTACCAGAATATCCTGATGGTGTAAGCAAGAGGAAATTTTATGATAATCGAAAAGAATGGGATAATGTGTTGCCGCAATTGGATTTATCTCTATCCTTGAACGAGAAAGGACCACCGATGTCACCCCAAAAGTGAGTATGTGCTGAACTTTTTTAGATTCAATCCTATTTGTTTGATTGACCATTGGGATTGTATCGTAATGTTTTTCGTTTGTGAAAAATTTTGCTGTCAATTTTAGCATCTCAAATGTGATTGCGTCGTTGTATTGCAACACGTCGAGTGAGTACAGTATGGCCGGGAATGGAAGTATCACTTTTGTGATTTTCACATCGTACAGGTAGGTTGATTTGAATTATCATGAGTAGTGGAACATTTTTGATTGATCGGTAGGGAGATGAGATGAACGAAGGATTATCAGTGAATTACGAGATGGATTTCATCACTCGTTGATAAACACGATTAAATGATATCAGTTACAGTGATGAGAACCGGATCAGTGCAGCACTGAATGCTCATAGACCGTGGTTGTCTTGTCCGATAGCTAGGCATGAATCCATTTTTGTGGTTGCCATCGATGGTGGTACGATATTTTGATTTGTATTTTATCAATATCCTTTCATTTTATTTCTTTTTCCAATTATCAAAATCTAATTCGTATTGGACATTTGTCCGTTTACAATGTCTCTCTGTTATCATCAGACAATGTTACATTGAAAATACTAATAACTCGTTCAGAAATTCCAATTTCACGTTCAAAAAGTGTGTTTCGTAAGATTCCGAAAGTGCATAATTCAGGTTCCGCAAGCCTTGCAAGCTTATCCTTTCCGAGCAGCGATTCCTTCATGAAAATAACCCAATTCAGCGACTCACAAATCCTCAACCTAACCAATAAAATAGTACAGACAATGTGTGATTGTAAGCGAAAGCCTGATGAACACTTGCCCGATGGATGTGCCCCGATAACCCCTGCCCCAACCTCAACTACTACCTATCCCCCAACCATAACAACTGCAATTACGATTTCAACGACGGCAACAAGTAAGTTTGAATTCATAATGTATATTACTGATGTCTATTACGAGTATATATTCCCATGTTCAGATATTCTAAATTTTGCATGCTCATCCTTAACTGAAGCTATGTTATGAACTTATTGATTGTAGAAATAACATCCCATCAAAAAATGTTTTGCTTATTTCACAAATGATATTCACTCGATAGAATTGATTGAACATCACCGCATTCAGCACCCCACGGAGTAATTCCACCGCCGTGCTTTGGATATTTCATATTTGTTGTCGATGCATCCAATGGTACTAAAAATGTTTATAATGAGGTTAGTTTATTCAGATTTGAATTTTCGTATGAGCTTAATAACTGTAATATTACTGTAGTGATGCATTACTGATTATAACAGAGATGAAGTGAACACACTTCAGCACAATCACGAAATGTCGTTTTCGCAGATTTTGACCGTTCAGATACGTGAAAGGAATGGGGTAAATCTCTGAAATTGGCTATTCACAATCAGTCATAATAACTCATCAAGTTTTGCATGTATTGTTGAATTTCAGATAACAGCAGTAAACAAAACAACGGAGTTATGGAATTTAGATGGTTCTGGAAAATTACAAGTTGCAGTCATGG